GTTCATCTTCATATATAAAATAAATAAAGAATTCATTATTATCTTTTTTCCAAACTTTTATTTGTTTGATGAGTCACGATAACTACGTGGAGGTACGGGACTCCTGTCAGACTCTTGTATGCTATAATAATTATTTTTTAATAATGTTCAATCGTTATCAGGTAGCATACCAGATAATATTTTTTAAATTTAAACTTTGCAGATAACTTGGAAATCGACGATTCGCGTTGAATTGTTTATCAACTTACATTTTTATAAAAGGGTATGCTATTCTAAATATCTATTTGTATTTTTTAATACATAGCTTCTTTAGCAACTTTCAGTATAGTCGGGACAAAATAACTATGCTGTAAAGCAAGTGTGTAGACAATTTGTACAAATAAATATAATTATTGAATTTTGCCTGGTCTTTTGCGAATCCTGCTACACGATATTCCTGAACACTGCCATTTTGTACTGAAATAAAAATATTTACAATAGCGTAATTTTGAAGTATTATTACCAAAGATGTTCTGATGCCCTTACCAAACTTAAATCTTTATTAAAAATATGCTTGGTTATAATGCTTAATTTTATACTGTAAAGAGTGGTTCAATATAAGCAATTTTAGATAGGCAAAGCAGATGTAGGGAAATATATCACATTTTTTACTCTTGGGGTGTAATGATAAGTAAATACAGAACGAACCAAATAAAAATTGTTTAAAAGTGAAGGTTCTGTTGATATGTTTCTGTGCAAAAACTTATTTTACCTGTTAACTCGATTTTCTCCAAGATAATCCCGATCTTTACAAATTTTCTACACTAATCCATTCAGTTTTGTATATATGTCTAATGATTGGAAAAACTAATTTTTTTATACTCCTCACTATAACATTAATATGTCATAACATTACATATACACATTTTTTGGGCTCCCTCTTTTCCTAAGCCAGTAGGTAAGACCTTTGCTATGATTTGTACTTCATGATCATCATCATCATCAATCAGCCAATCGCGTCCACTGCTGGACATATGTCTTCCTCAGTTCTTTCCAGTGTTCTCTACACTGGACCGCTTGTAGCCAGTTTCCCGCTACACGTTTTATATCATCGGTCCATCTAGTCGGTGGTCGTCCTCGGCTTCTTTTATAGTTTCTGGGCCTCCATTCCATAATACGTCTTGTCCACTGTCCATCTTGTGCTCTGGCTAAGTGCCCTGCCCAGTTCCACTTAAGCGACGTGGTTCTTTCGATGACGTCTTGAACTCCTGATCTTTGCCTGATTTGTTGGTTTGTTATGTGGTCTCGAAGGCTCACGTTCAGCATTACACGTTCCATGGCTCGTTGTGTAACTCTGAGTTTATTGTACAGGTAAAATACATTGGTTATAAACCTTTCGCTTGAGACACATGGGAATTGAACTTTTTAGAATATGGCTTAATTTATGATATGTCTATTTAAATCAAGTTAATATGCTTTCTTTAACAAATCTTTACTGTGGACATCATCTTTGTACATGTGCAGTGTTCTTCTTCCTTCTTGTCCACACTTACCGAAGATTGGAAATCATCAAGGCTATTTGGACTTTGTTTACAGCTGTTTTAACAGTGTGTTTGTGATGCAACCAAAACACTCTCTTACATTTCTCATCCGGGACATTCTTCTGCGACGCGTATTTCTTTTTCTTTCAACCTTTTCCTGCATTATATTTTATCGGAATGTGTATTGTTGCCCCCATATTAGATGGCTCAAGTGTATTACTTCGGGTCTTTTGTCAATTCGACATAATACTTCTTCATTTGTGACTCGGCCAATGCAACTCATTCTTACATTCTTACATCTTACATATTAGCATAACATCTCGAAACTCTCAATGTTTTTTATATTGTTCTGACTAAGAGTCATTCCTTCCACGCTGTATAACAAGGTACTGAACACATATTACAAGCTTAAGTACACTGATTAAATTTTTATTTTGTTTGGTTCCTTCTGTGTTATTTCGGATTAGTAAACGTGCTGTGATAATTGGAAAAAAAAATTGAAAAAGAAACAAAAAAATAATGATAAGTTAAACTTCTGCTTTGCTCATTAACTAAACTAAAGAATGAAGGATTTTGAAAACCTTTGTCCATTTTGTAATTGGTAAGGTTTTTTTGTACTATTTGCACTGCTTTAATTAGAAATTCGGTACTTGTTAATAATGTTGAAGTAAGACTGGGTGTAGCGATAGTAATAACAAAGTTTAATAATAGATGTAATTGTAAGTCTACCTTATAATAATTATTGGATGGAAAGTAAAGTGTAAAGGTATATTTTTGTATGTTTTTATTTCAACCTTACCTTTTTTAGGTTTTACTACAGAATAAATTTTATTACTTTGGTGGAAATTAAATTTCACATGTATATTGGCGGCGATCAACCACTTCCCAATACGTTGCAAGTGTTTCTTTAATAAAATACAATATATTGTAGCGAGATTAAATAAAACGAGCGGTTCGAATTTATATAAATAAATTATTTATAAGTCTACAGTTCGGTACTATCTTATCAACTCCGACAACTCATAACATCGTTACATATATATACCAAAATTATTGTTCTATAATCATCTGGTGTAGTCCCACCTCTAATTCGTTGTTTGACAGGTCGATCCTCTCCCGCGCACGATACATCTGTGGAAAGTTCTCGATGTCCTTTGGAGATGCAACCGTTACATGGACCATGCCGAACGGATGTTCGTAACACTGCTCCCTTCTTAGATCTGAGCGTCCCGATCAGCCACTCTATATGTAGGCCCAGGAAGACCCAATTTTAGGCTGCTGATTTTTTATCTCGTCCAAACGACCGAACTTCTTATAAAATACGTATGAGATTCCTTTAGTCATCTCAAGATCTTGGGCAACACAGTGGGCAAGAGAGACGTTATGCGGAACACTAAAAAGATCCTGATGAACTTCTGTGGTCACGCCGAATCTAGCACTCCTTCTCTCTGCGTATTTGACATAAATTCATTAAAGCTTGGTCGCCGGTCATCTTTGATCTCATGTTGAAGAGTTAGGGCTTCTTCTGTTTTATTTGAGCCAGCATAAGGTGCAAGACGACTTATGTGAACTACTTTTGGTTTACCTTTCGGCAACTTCTTAATTCGATATATTACGTCATTTATTCTCTTTTTAATTTCATACGGACCCTCCCATTGTCTTTGCAGTTTACGAGACAAGTCACGACGACGTTGTGGATTATAAAGCCAAACAAGATCACCTACTTCATAACTTTTTTTATTTAAACTTATTGTGTGTAAGACATATTTGAAATTCCTCTTGATGCCATTATGTATAGAATAGAACATCGTTCAAATTTCCACTGTACTTCTCTATGTAACAAGCATATGAAACGTCCAATGTTCCATGATGATGGTGTATAATCAGGCTGAATACGATGACATGGGTTATGTTGGTTTTGAAGCTATGTATCATCAATTTAGGGCTAAAAGATGGTTGGTAATCATCAACCTATAACACACACCATAACAGTGATGGCCTAATTAAAGCCATTCTCACAAAAATATGGATTGATAATGCCCTCAGCCCAAAATCCACACCAAATAGTAACTTTTTCAATTTATTTGATGCTTTTAGATCTTATCTGGATTGGTATGGTTTCATATTTCTGTTTATTCGCATACCCATTCATAAAAACAATGAGCTTTGTTGCTGAAGATGATTTATCATCAGTTTCCATCTACTTTAAAGTCCGTTCAGTGAACACATGTCATTGCCTATGGGTGTTTATCTTCTTCTCCTGAGTCAGTTAAATTTTATACCAGTGCATGCCCAATTCACATGTTGTTCAGTGGTATAGGTATGTTTTTCACGTTTTGAGAATTATTTTTATATTAAAAGCATTATTGTTGGTATTAGCCTAGTGCACTGTTAGGATACATCTTTATTTATGACATTAATCCAAGAAAATATGCAAGTCTTGTACATTATTCATGACAAAAATTCTAGCAATCCTTAAGTGACAATGAGACTTTATAGGTTGCAAGGTCTCTTTTTAGTAAATGTTTTTGGCTTTTTTGCTTTGCAACCATATAGTTTCCTAGTTTTTTCTACTTTATAGACGAATGTTGAGAATTCCATGGGTACAAAGAGTTACTAATGTTGAGGTACTTTGTCGAATGTGTAAACAAAAAGAATTACTAAGAATAATCAAAGAGAGGTAAATGCAATACTTGAGTCATGTGTTGAGAGGCGAAAAATATGACTTACTTCAAGTTATACTGGAAGGAAAAGTACAGGGCAAAAGATCAATCGGAAGACACCAGAACTCATGGCTGAAAGACCTGAGGAGACGCCAACCTTCCAAAGGAGACGGCACCATGAGAAGAAGAAGAAGCTATTTTTTTCAGATTTAACTATTTTATCTGACATTTGTTATTGTTCTGATTTTCATTATAAAACTGTTGGTTCATAACACTTAAAAATTTTGTTTTGTATATTGTTTTTTCTAGTAATATAACCTATGTGACAAATAAATATGGCTGTTGGCAAACTAAGAGCGTAGGCGCAAAATTTCGGCCCAATGTTTTTTAAAACGCATTCATTTTTCGATTCCTGAGAAAACCAACAAATATTTTTGAAAAATTTAAATGCAGAATGAAAGATTACATTATTATCGAGGGCCGAAAGTCCCTTAGAATAAACAAATAGTTTTTTTTAATGAGATATTTGAAATTAAAAATCATACTAAATTTTCTCTTTTTTTTCACCCCTGTAACTTATTAAAATAAACATTATAGAAGTTTTCAGGGACTTTCGGCCCTCGGTAATAATGTATTCTTTCATTCTGCGGTTAAATTTTTCAAAAATATTTATTAGTTTTCTCAGGATCCGAAAAAAATTAATGCATTTAAAAAGCATTGGCAAGAAATATTGCGCCTACGCTCTTAACATGTCTAAATTATCAAATATTTAAGAACATTTTTGGACACCTATATTATACAAGTAAAACTACACAATTTATGTTACATCTATATTTAATTTATATAAAATCTAATTTAAAACAGTTAAGTATTATTAAACAAATTTTGAAGCGATCCCCAACAATTTTGTATAATCAGCACCTTTGGCATGTGTTTTCTCTTTTAAAATTGTCCTAAGAATTGTGGGTATTGGTGCATGTATCCTAGTTCCTAATGGAGAACCATTGTCATCTATCAGAACTAGATTGTTGCTATCAAATTTAGGTACTTTGGATTGTTGGTTTTGTTTCAATCCTACTAAGATCCCTTTCTTCTTTTCACCTTTTATAGCAACTAGTACCCTATCCCCTGAAACAAAAAGTTATCAATGAAAATATTTAATCATATTCAGCTGTATGAAATCAAAGGATAATTAATAAAGAACAGAGTTGTGATTATTATATTTCTGTTATGTAAAAATTCTGTATAACGTAAACATATCTAGCACTGATTAGATCTTTTATTCTCTGTTATTATTATTCACTTATCCATACATACTATTCTATTTACATACCTATTCTTCCTACTCCAGTTTTATTATAAACATGAATACATTTTGGAGGTTTTCCTTCTGCCATGGCTTGTTTACCAATTTCACTATTGTCTACCACACGCAGCCTAGTCATTTTCTGAATTTCATTATTTTGGCTTGTTAAATGAAAACTACATGAAACTATTCTAGGTTTAATTGTATTTTTTAATATTAAACTCGTAGATAACATTGTGATTGAGGGACCTTAGTGAGGTTAAGTTCGAAAATTTGTTTTGACAGTTTGATTTATCATGTCAAAATTACAACCAAGGAATTATTTATTCATTATTTTGTATTTCCAAGTAAACGCTTGATTCATGTTATTAATGTTAAGAGCAAAAATAATAAAATAACATCTATATATTAAAAGATAATAAATTTAATTAAATTTATTTACAGAGACATCTGTGTTTTTAACTTATAATTTTGATTTATTTCGATTTTTGATAGTTTTCAACTTTGTATTTTGGTTCTGTTATTAGCGACATCTATTAGTATGTACTCAAACTATTAGCAGTTAGTTTATAAAAAAGATATAGAGCGAGCTAAACACTCAAAAGGTTCTAATTTTACAGCGGTAGTCAAACTTTAAATATTCGGCAATATGATTGTAATTTACAAAAATAGAATTGTAGAATAAAAAAATAATGGTTCAAATAGCAATTGTTAATTTGGATTATTATGACAAAGTTAAAAAGAAGAGGCAATTATACTTAGATATATAAAAAATTATTCATATTTGTAAGTTATATTTCAAAATAAAATGAAAAATTATCTTTACTTTTTGGTAAGTCCTAAATTTATGAGATCTCGTTATTATAAATAAATTTATTATAACGCAATGATAAAAAATGAATAAAGGTCTATATCATTTCTAGATACTTATATTCCAGTATTGTGATGACAATTTTACACTCTCTAAGAACTCTATAATTCTGTGCAAATTTTCTGTCTTAGATTTTCAGGCTACATGGGTTCACTAATTTTGGCAACAATTGCAATCTGGCTTTATGACCCTGCAAGGGTGCTAGCCTCCTCAAGAATTTCTCTCCAGTCGTTCCTATCTAACACCTTCCTCCGCCAAGCACGTATTTCTATATTAATTATGTCTTCGTCGATGTTATCAAAACATCTTGCTCTGGATCTAAATATTGGCAACATTCGTCATATCTAAATGGACTATAACTATCTAAAACTTAGCCTTTCGAATAACAAAGTTAACAAAGTACTCTTCAGATGTTTAATAATTTTCGTAACAAAATTTAATGTAGTCATGAAATACAAAATGACAAGAGAATTACTCAGTTACTGAGTTTCCTCAGTTATGTTTGTAGGACAATAACGACAACCGCCGAATAACCTCCAATACCAACCAATTGATAATATAAAACAGACATTTGGTTTGGAATATATTTAAAATTTAACAACAATGCATTTATATCTTACAGAAGATGTGTTGGGTTTTCCAAAGAGACAAATCAATTAAATTATCTAGACTATATTATTCCGAAAATCTGAGAAAAGTCAAATATATTTTAAAACATAATAATTAGCCACCAGAATTTAACAATCACCTTATAAAAAAAGGAGGCTGTGCAATTTAAAGTTATTTTACCAAACATACTAAAACAATAAATAATTTGCTCCAATATATAGGTACGCAACTACATACAATGAATATCTTTCAGAATTCAAACCTATTATCAATAAAGGCAGTCAATCAAACAGAGGTTATAAATTAAATTGTAAGGACTCTAATTCAACATATAGTAGACAGACAAATCGTATCTACATAGAAGAATTATTAGACATAAAAACAATACAATAAACAATAAAGTAAATAATAGTCTCCACCAAGCTGAGAAACCAAGGAAAATAACCATTCTTTCAATTTTGAAAACGTACAAATTTTGGAGAAAAAGTTAAATTATCATAAAACATGCATATTGGAAATAATTCATAAGAAACAACAAACAACATGTATTAATATCAACACTGACATGGAAGGTTTCTCCAATTAATATTATAATTTAATAAATTAGTGTTTTAACATTTGCTACCACACTAGTACATTGACGATTTGGAACTGCAAAGACTCTATAAAATTATTTATAGGTTAAATTTTAATTGCCGAGCTAAAAAATTAGAGTCTCGAAGTAATTTGAATTTATTCTAGAAATAATTCTTTTTTAACTATTTACCGTGGTAAAATAGTTTCCAATGGATTACTTCAAAATTTTGTTGTTGTTACTGTTTCAGTGTATTGAAATAGCATAAGTTGTGTTGTGGTGGCGTTAGAACATGGTCACGGTCTGCGCGAGACTGCGAGAAACGTCGGTGTAAGTCTCTCTAGTATGAAAACAATATGGGTGGCGGTACGAAGAGACCGGTCAGCTTCGAAGACCTGGTTCAGATCGAGGCAGAATTACAACAGCTGAAGATGACCGTTTTGTCGTTTTTAGTGCTTTAAGGAATCGAACAGTCCCGGCAGTTTTCACGGCAAAATCATCTGCAAGAAGTAAGCAATGTAAACGTAAGTGAATGGATAGTTATGAGGCGACTTTATGGTGATAGTTTATCTTCTCGAACTAGAGTAACTGAGCCGCTGCTTTCCCGTGAACGCCGAATTGCCAGATTGAATTTTGTTCGAGAGCACTTGGCTTGGACAATACAGAATTGAAATCGTGTATTGTTTTCCGATGAATCAAGGTTGTGTCTTACGGGCTTCAGACAAACGCGTAAGAGTGTAGAGACGTCCACGCAAGAGATATGTTCAAGCAAGTGTTTCCGAGAGACTTCCATTTGGTGTAGGGTCAGTTATGGCATGGAGCAGCATACCGTTTGACTCTCGAACGGAGTTTCATGTTTTATCGTTTATAGTTATTCTTGGAGACTACGCAACATTTACGCATGATAACGCTGGGAATGCTCGTCCTACACTGCTCGAATAGGTACTTGAGTATCTATATATTTGAGGTTCAAATCATATAATTTGTTTGGCCTGCTTGCAGTTCAGATGTGCCATCCTCCAGAAATTCAAGAGCGTTTCGCGATATATTGGTGCAGGAATGGAACAATCTTCCGCAGAATGTGATCCAAAATCTGATCCAAAACATGCCTCGACTTTTGCAAGCTTTTATGATTGCTACAGGAGGGAATACTCGCTATTGAAGTTCTCAAAATTCCTTTTGTTTTAACAAAAAATACATCAAATTAAAATTATCCCTTTTCAATATTTAGTATATCAAAGGAAAATTGTTATTTTTTTTTCTTTAAATAAACTTTGAAGGACAATAATGTTGTTATCTTTAAGCAATCCGTTAATAAACCATGTTACAACTGAAAATAGTAGAAAAACGAATAATAATTTCTAAAATAAAGTAGTAATAAATTGTTACTGAAAATAGCAATTCGTCGTATCATTTGAAAGTAAAGTATATTATTAAAAAAAGGACGGATAAACCAGGCAAATTCACACATTCACAACCAGGAAATAACAAACAACGAACAACGTTATATGTTCTGATATTATTGTAGAAAGCAATATAACTAATAATAGGTATATATCATAGAGAAGTAGTGGAGAAGAGTGAAACAATTAATAACTATAAACGATCTCAATTTGGTCGCGGTAAGATCTAAATCGTTATTCGGAAAGACCAGGAAGATGAGAATACATGATTTTTATAGTGGATAGTACATACACCATATACACCAAAACCAACAGATTGTGCGAAGTACCAGAACAAAAACCTAGATAAAGGCTTAAGATATTTACCAGATCTAGTAATTGTGGCGCCCTGCTATAGGAGGCTCCAAATACGAATTATTGGATATGTGGCAAAGAATGGGAGAGAGAAAAATAAAACACAATAGTCAAAAATAGGGCAAAAGTATAAAACCTGGTATAAGTGTACATTTAAACGAACAAAATATTACTTTACTCAATGCCTTATTGGACACTATTTACAGACATGCATGGGGGGTCTGGTGGCCTAAAATACTGTATATCTTACTACAATATTTACACAAACAAATTTCGTGGACTAAAGATCTTGCTTGTAGAGATAACTCCATAAGACATATCAAAAGTAGCCACAACAAATAACGACACATCGAAACTTTGGGGACAATAATTCTTTGAGAGAAAGATAAAAATAAACATAATGTGAGAGGGTACTAAATAGTAATGATAGATTATGATTGCCGTGATATACTCGAGGTTTCGTTCGCAAAACACTCGTTCTGAGTCCATTATTCTAAAGAGTGTTTTAATTTCTTTTCACTATTATTTCTCATCATTGTCCCTAAATTGTGTATTGTTTTATCTTCCCGTTTACTTTCGATATGCCTCTTGTTCTGTTATTGTATGAGCTGCATTCCATAATTTTCTTTATATTCTTTATTCTGTCATCATTTCTATGATTTCTTTATTTACGAATATTTTTGAAAATTTTACATATTTTAATAGTCATTTTGCCGTAAGCTATTCGTGCCAATTATCTCTTTTCTTTCAAATTTTGCTTATCGATTTTTTTGCCATTTTCTGTTTCACAATTATATTTTATTTCATGTCTAATTTTTTCATAATAAGTTTTAGTTTTAATGGATAAGCAACAATTTTTCTTTTTTGAAGATTAGAATCCTGTCTAGAAATTAATAAGAAGCTTTCACAGAATCAATTTGGCTTTAGAAAGGAACACTCCACAATGGAAAACTTGGAGCATTTAACAACAGATATCAACACTTCCTTTTCGAGTTCTAAATCAGTATTTACCCTCTTTATAGATATAGAAAGCGCTTACGACAATGTAAACAGTACGATTTTATATAATCAGATGAAAAATATTGGTCTAAATATAGATTTTGCTAAACGAAATATAAAATTGTAAAACAACTGAACAATCTCATTAAAAATAGATAATAAAATAGTAAGTGAAGGAAATTTTAATATCGATAATCCACAAGGCAGTATTCCAAGCACCATTCTATATTTGATACACACAGCCGAAATAGAAAATAAACTTCTGTCAAGATATTAGAATATGCCGACGATTTAATAATTTACAAAGACTGATCCGAAATTCCCTTTGGTTCCAATGTGGTAGAGAAGGCGTATAGTGAATTAAAAAACTTCTGCGAATTTATAGGTCTAAACATTTCAAATCAAAAAACAAAGTTATGTATATTCTCGAGAAAAAATCAAGTAACTAATTCAGAAACAATTCAAGATATCAC